CCGCTGCCACCCCGCAGTCTGGCAGCCCTGTGTCGGGGAACGCCAGGCCCTTGCCATCTTGCTTTAACAGTCAGAAGAAGAACTTTCCTGTTTAAAGATTAAACGTTGTGTTTAAATATTAAACAGTAAAGCTCCTCTCTCTTGATTGTGTGGCTGCTGCCGGCAGGCGGCTCAGAAATGCCAATTTTAATTAAAAAACTTTATTTTCAAATACAAGCCACCGATCACGCCTCTCAGCGCTCCTCCCCTCCAGACGGGCGCTGCTCCCTGCGGACTGGGGTGCTTGCTTCTCCGATGGCATGTTTTGTTTTCTGTCTTCTTGCACCCGCATTTCCATCCGCCTGCACCGAAGTGACAGTCTCTGCAAGCCCTGAAGTGTGAGCGGCCTCGTCTGGGACTGATCAATGCCCCTGGCACTTCCTTCCAAAACCCCAGGAAAAACAATTAAAACCCAATCGATCCTGCAGACAGCTTTGAATATGCATAAGTGCACACTTGACCTTCAGTGGTCAGGGCAACTTCCACAGTGGCTGCTTAGCTAGTTTGCTCAGGTAGTGCAGCTGTACCAAATGACCTTGATTAGCAAAGCAAAAGGCTATGCAAAAGGGGGCCCGGTGCAGATCCGGGAGGCCGTGGCACGTGGCATGGGCTGCCTGCCTTCCTCGGCTGCCCCGCGCATCTCTCTAGGGCTTGGGGTCGGGAGCCCAGTTCACAGCGGTGGTTGAACACAGGGCGGCAAGGGCAGGTCAGGCCCAGGGGACTGAGCCTGGTGGGTGCAGGAAGAGGGTGAGGAGGGGACCCAGGGGTGCTGCGGTTGCGTTGCAGGCAGAGGAGTGCGAGGGAGGCTTTGCCAGGCTGGAGCGGGGCACTGGCTGCTGTGCCTGGTGCAGTTGTGCAGGTCTCTCGGCACGTTTCTGGGCTGCGTTGTCTGCCCAGGCCTCCGGGCTGGCCATCGCCCTGCAGCTGCAGGCAGGGCAGTTCCCAAACCTCTGCTGGGCACCACTGCAGCAGCTGTGGGTGGCCCCAGCATCTCTCCTGTCCTTGTGCCAGGCCTCAGACAACTTTGAACCCGGTGAGTACCTAGCACTGTACCCTAGCTCAGCAGCGGGACGGCTGGCAGAGCCAGGGGGGTTTCTCCCCAGCGTTGCTTGTTCAGCTGTTGGGTCTTAGTTCAGCCTTGCCCTGTGCTGGCCCTGCCTTGTGGCCGGAGAAAGCCGACTGGAGTGGCCCGTGTCAAGGGCTTCCCAGAGCTGCCCCTGTGACTTTCCTGGGACCCTGCCACCCTCTTAGCAGGAGTCAGAGAGGACAGGCCCAGAGCTGGGCAGGCAGCCTGCAAGCGCTGCGCTGAGTAGCATAGCTCAGAGCCTGGTGGCTGTGCATCTACCTGCCCTGCTCCCTCGCTGTCCGATGCATCTGCTCCCCAGGCGTGCGGGGACGCCCCTTCCCAAAGTCGCTGCCGGCAAACCTGGGCCTGGATCTGCTGGTGCTGAGCGCACAGCGTTCGTGAGCTGTGCGTGGGCTTGCTCTTTGGGCCGGAGCCCAGGAGAGGGAGCCACACACAGAGCTGCTGCAGCCTTCACCCTGGCTGCCTGGCAGGTGGGTGCCAGGGGCCCATCTGGCACCTGCACCCTTGGCTCCCCACTGCCCCCCAGGTGACCACCTAGGATCCAGGCTGCAGGGAATCTTGTTAGTGATGAAGATATCAGCGCGCATTTGTTGAAGGCAAAGGAAGCCTCCCTGTTGTGTACACAAAGTGTAATTTCAGTGAATTATGCATAGACTTAATTAGGAGTTTTAATTGCTAATCATCTCCCAATAGGATTAGCAATGCTGTCTATTAATTATCTGTGGAGCCCTCTGTTTTGCTAAGGCAGGAGTAACAAAGCAGCATAAATGGTTACGTAGGCCAGTAATAAATTACCTACCCCAAACCCATAGCTCCCTGGGGACGGCTAGCGGTGGGGGCTGTGGAGAGGGGCTGGCCGTGCCCGCCGTGGGCAGAGCAGCAGGGAGGCGGGC